GAGATCAAAAGCTACCATGCCACTGTTTGCTCTATGGGATTTCTCTGATATTGCTCTACCCTGTACCCTATTCCAAACCTACTCCTTGTAACCAATAAAGTTCTCCTTTGTACCTAGCGTGGGAGACTTATTGGGTGAGGGTCTAGATTGTGCCTTGGGGTCCCCTTGGTTCAGCTGACTAAGGGAGACCACTACTTGTGCTTCAGTCTGAGGAAAGCACACCAAGTTCTTGCAGTGGGTCAAGTACCCTCAAGGACTAATAGTCCTGTGTTTCCCAGAGGGCACAGGTCCCAGATCAGTCCAGACTCTGGGTGGTGGCAGCGTTACCCCCAGGCTTGCGGGTGTGCTCCAGGGAAGGGGTCGGCCGGACGGGAGGCACCCCAGGGAGGCACTCAGAGCCTGGAAGGTGGGCGGGCGCAGGGAGGTGGGCGGCTCAACACAGGAGCGCCCCCTACTGCCCTGCCACACGTGGCCTCTACCTGGGACCTCTTGATCATATATTGACAACATTTTGTAGATGCAGGACGTTAGCTGCCACGGTTTCCCTGCTTTACCTGTGGCCAGTTCAGTTGGTAGGTCTATGTTGTATCAGGGCGGCAGTCTGATGTATAGTTTAGATTATGGTTTGTATGGGATGGCTTGGATAGGGATGATCTTTCCAGCCCTGCGTCTCTGTGACTCTATGACTCTATGAAAGCATTCCTCCGGGGCACTGGGTGTTGGCTGCAGCCATGGGTGGAGATTTTGACTGGGCTGTGCCACTGCTCCTGCTAGGATTTAAACCCACAGGTTGCTGGCTTGAGGGCTTTCCCCTCTGCTCAGGGTCAGACTGATGCAGTATTTGAGGTCATAAAGGAATTTTACCCACTAGTGAGATTAGTACGGCGTTGGGGGGAGGGTGTCTTTTGTTGTGGAGAGCATGGCCTCTGCCTGGGCTCTCTTGTACCTGTGTTAACAGCCTTTACAGCAGCAGGACATTGGCTGTTGTGGTCCCCCTGTTTTACTTGTGGCAGGTTTGGGTGCAATGTCTTGTGTTGTGTCAGGGTTGACTGTGTAGTTCAGCTAAGAGGTTGGATGATGGGTGTGTCAGTAATGGTTTGGACAGGGCTGATCCTGTCTCAGGCAGAGGGCTGGACTAGATAACCCATGGAGGTCCCTTCCAGCCTGACGTCTCTATGATCCTCTAAAGTAAACATTTTTACATTTGGATGGACATCAAATGTAACATTGCTGTAGCCTGAGGTGACCAGTCCAATAACAACAACCCCCAGCTCCCTTGGGCATCCTCTTCTAATTTTGCTGCTACTTTAATCTCCTCCGTATTCCCAAGGCTGCGTGTGAGCATCCGGTCAGATGTGAACAGCAAGTGCAACAGCTGTTCATCTGGCTCAGCCTGGGGCTGCTCTCGGGGAAGAGAGCTTGAGCCAAGTCACTGCTACTGGGAATGAGTGGCCCCTGGGGAGCTTGCTGGGAGGGAATACCTGTGCTGCAGACATGAATCCAGCTCCTTGTTGCTGCAGGTCCTGGCCAGACTTGGGTCTTGCCTGGCCCATGGCCCCACTCACCACAGGCTCTAGCAGCAAGCTACTCTGGGAGGGAATGCCCTGGCACCTCCAGGCCCTGCAGTGCCCACTGGGATTTGGACACTTACCCCAGGGGCAGCCTGCACTCATGCACCAGCATGGCACAGCTTCCACCTCATCCCCTAGACTTCTTCTCCCATGGAGCAGCAAAGCCAAGTATAGACCCAGCCCCTGACCCCAGCCCTTGACCTCAAACCCAGCAGCCTCGTCTGCTCCTTGTGGCTTTTGGCTGGATTCAGTGTCCCCTGCACTGAGCATTGGGATGGGATTGTGTGATCCAGTCTGTGCCACAGCAAAGGGTAGAAAATGCCTTTTTTTCCCCACAGAAAAAAGGTGCAGCTGGCTGTCCTTGTCTGAGCCACAGCAGTGCCTTCTGGGAGTCCTCTGGCTGCACATTTTTTGAGCGGCCGTTGATGGAAGGAGTAAAGATGTTGCCAGAAGCCATTTATTTCTGGCATTTTCCCAGTGTCTGCATCTGACGGTGCAGCTCAAACATGCTCCTCATTGGGTCTTCCTGCATACATCCATCATCATCTGTGATCTAATGGAGGGCTGTCTGATCCCAGCAGCCGGGGGCTGCATGCCACATGGGCTGCACCTGTGCATACCACAAGCTCCCAGGCCCCATGCCAGGTGGGCTTCCCCCACTGCCTGGCTCCTCCCCCATGGGCTTCTCTACTATGTGGGATCTCCAAACCCTGGGCATCACAGGTTGTGCTGTCCCACCCCACAGAGGTTGGGGTAGGAAGCAGAAGCTGGAGGAGGGATGGGGACCCCAGCCACAACAGCACCCAGAGTGATGTGGAGAGTGGCACCCACGCGAGAGCCCACAGGCTGAGGTACCACCTTGCTGGTGGGTACGATCTGTGGGATGCTGGTTAAATCCTGTTCTAGAGCAGTGGTTCTCTACCTTTTTTGTACCAGGACCCATTTGTAAACATTGATGGCCAGTCCTGACCCAGTGCCCCTCACTCCCGACCCGCTGTCCTCCCGCCCCCAAGCCCCAGCACCCTGGTGTGTAGGGCAGGGGGTGGGTGCATGGGGCACCCAAGCAGCTCCTCACAGGGGGGGGCTGGTTCAGGGATGCCCAGGAGATCCCAGGAAAAGCCCTGCCCAGGCTGCAGAGGGAGGTGAAGCCCCACAGTCAATGACTTGTTGTTTTTCAGATTCTTCCAGAGCAGCGTTTCTCAACCCATGGGTCACGACCCAGAAGCAGGTTGCAAGAATATACAAAAGGCTCACGAACAAACTTTAAAAAATGGATTCTCCTTTAAAGGAGAAAACCATGGGAAACCATGGCTTTTCCCTTGCAAGCTGGCAGAGCTCCAGCCATGACAGTCACATGGGGAAGAGCGAACATGATTTTTATATAGGGAAATCCTGCCTCAGCAATCTGCTGGCGTTCTTTGAGGGTGACAACAAGCATGTGGGCCGGGGGGATCCAGCTGACATAATATATTTGAACTTTCAGAAAGCATTGACAAGGTCCCTTACCAAGGGCTTTAAAAAAAAAACACGTGTTGCCACAGAATTGCAGGGAAGGTTCTTTGCCCAAGATTGTAAATGATACCAAATTATTCCAGGGAATCAAGTCCCAAGCTGATGGAGAGGGGCTGCAGACGGATCTCACCAAGCTAAGTGAATGGGCAAAAAAATGACAGATGAACTCCAACGTTGACAGGTGTAAGGTAATGCACTTGGGGAAAAATAACCTCAGCTGTACGTACATAGCGCTGGGCTCTGAACTAGCTGTCAAGGCTCAGGAAAGAGAGCTTGGAGTCACTATAGACGACAGTTCTTTAAAACATCAGCTCAGTGTGCAGCGGTGACCAAAAATGCCAATAAAATATTAGGCATCATTAAGAGTGAAATTGAAAATAAAACAGAGGACATCATCCTGCCATCACACGAATGCATGGTGCGCCCATATCTTGAATAGTGTACAACATCATCCTGCCATTACACGAATGCATGATGCACCCACATCTTGAATAACGTACATAGTTTTGGTCTCCAAATCCCCAAAAGGCTGTAGTAGAATTAGAAGAGGTAGAGAGAAGGGCAACCATAATGATCAGGATCCTGGAGCATTTACCACACCAAGAGAGACTAAAAATCCCAGTGGGCACTGCAGGGCCTGGAGGTGCCAGGGCATTCCCTCCCAGAGTAGCTTGCTGCTAGAGCCTGTGGTGAGTGGGGCCATGGGCCAGGCAAGACCCAAGTCTGGCCAGGACCTGCAGCAACAAGGAGCTGGATTCATGTCTGCAGCACAGGTATTCCCTCCCAGCAAGCTCCCCAGGGGCCACTCATTCCCAGTAGCAGTGACTTGGCTCAAGCTCTCTTCCCCGAGAGCAGCCCCAGGCTGAGCCAGATGAACAGCTGTTGCACTTGCTGTTCACATCTGACCGGATGCTCACATGCAGCCTTGGGAATGCAGGGGAGATTAAAGTAGCAGCAAAATTAGAAGGGGATGCCCAAGGGAGCTGGGGGTTGTTGTTATTGGACTGGTCACCTCAGGCTACAGCAATGTTACATTTGATGTCCATCCAAATGTAAAATGATTTACTTTAGAGGATCATAGAGTCGTCAAGCTGGAAGAGACCTCCGTGGGTTATCTAGTCCAGCCCTCTGCCTGTGGCAGGATCAGCCCTGTCCAAACTATCACTGACACATGAACGATTGGTGTCTCCCAAGACTGGAGGGGCACCATGCCGGCGAGTGGCGAGCGGGGACTGCCTGCAGCCGCCAGCATCAGTGTCAGCAGCAGCAAGCGGGGACCATGTGCAGCTGCTGGTGTCAGTGTCATGGTCAGTGAGTGGCAAGTGGGGACCACCCGCACCCGCCACTGGTGGGATTGGCAGGCGGGTGGGG